AACATTTATGAATTCCAAGTACACGTGTTTACCAGGATATTATTGCATAACAGCATTCACAATAACGAAAACTTAATGCTCTGTTACGCTCAGAATAGTGAATCCGCTTTTACAAAAATTCTTCTTTCCTCCAGCATACACGGCAGTTCGATTTCCGTTTAAAAGTCCAAGATTACACACCACCACAAAACAACGCCTATTCCATCCAGAGAACTGAGCACGACATTCTTTTCATACCTAGTCATGTATGCTGCAGACTTCCCGGATGTGAACGATGAAGCTTTGCCATCCTGTTTGGCCGAGTTGATCATATATAAACAAATGTATATTCAGTAAAAGTTATATAAGTATACTTTGTGAACAGCCACAAATACATTTCTGTTCTGGTGAAAACTAAAACGCTACAAAATGAGCCAAGGACAAGTCTTCATATTTTGCTTACTGTTGGTTTTCTGCGTCTTTCATTTAATCAGGTAATTATTATATGTATGTATTTATTATTTTACCTTTTAATCATTGGTTGACATGGAGATAAAATGTGTTTGCTTTGTCAGTGAATTAGATACACATATTTCGTTTTTTACTATTTACAAAACAATAATCAAACCTTTGGTTCTGTTACGTCTCTGGTCGTTTGTTAATTTTCCGTAGAAATTCTTTCCGAAAAACTTAAGCGATACAAGTCCTTTCTTAAATAAAACTAGTTTATTCTTTCTCAATACAACTTTGCAATAGTCCGAATGATTATTTCTTTCACATCAACTGATGAACAGAGAAACTAAGTCCGAATGATTATTTCTTTCACATAAAATGATGAACAGAGAACCTAAGTCCAAATGGTTATTTCTTTCACATCAAATAATGAACAGAGAAACTAGGTCCGAATGATTATTTCTTTCACATCAACTGATGAACAGAGAAATTAAGTCCGAATGGTTATTTCTTTCACATAAAATGATGAACAGAGAAACTAGGTCCGAATGATTCTTTCTTTCACATCAACTGATGAACAGAGAAATTAAGTCCGAATGGTTATTTCTTTCACATAAAATGATGAACAGAGAAACTAGGTCCGAATGATTCTTTCTTTCACATAAAATGATGAACAGAGAAACTAAGTCCG